CACTCACTCAAGTATCTCTTGGGAGGAGTGGATGTGCCTGAGTCACCGGCTTTGGCCCATGAGATACTCCGATGTACTCACAATTTATAAGCACGCTACATTTCTTAGCGCGTGCATGTATCACGTAGGTATAAGAATAAAAGCGTGAGAGAGCTTAACGAACAATGTGCAGCCTTTAAACCGGAGCAGGAGGAGGGAGAGATATTGTGAAGGCGAGCTCACAAGCACAGAGAGGCGAATGCAGGGGGTACGCACAGACAGCCGAACATGCTGGATCGAGAGGGCTCCGCGCTCCTCAGTCAATGAGAAGCCTCAGTCCTGAAACTGCGAACGACGCAAACCCACGCCCAGGCAGGCTTTCCTGAGCCAGCTAACAAAACGGGGCTCACTGTCTCGTCTTTGGGAGTTCCCCGGGGCCCCCGGTCGGTTTCCAGCACTTCTCCCTCCTCCTCCAGCTGGCTCAGCACTGGCCATGCGGACCCCATGCTTCTCTTGGGACTCCACACCGCACTGGGCGTCATTACTGAATGGCATCTTGCCATGTCCCCTAATAGCTTTGCTTCCACACGCTATCAGGTTCTTAATCCTAGATCCTCAAAGACTCAAGAAATGTTGGAGATTACGATGGTTTATTCTTTCCAAGCATGGTCTGAATTACCGCAGGCTCCGGGGGCGGGGACCGGGAGCCTCAGCGAGCTGCAGGGAGGGATGGGGTAGATGACACACTCCCGGTCTAGGGGAGGGGGGGACCGCCATCACACATGACTGGTGATCATGGCAAACAGTCCCGAAGGCCCAGAAGCTAATTTGCATTTGCATATTTCCTGTATTTCACTTACAAACATCCCCCCAGGCCATAATTTCCCGTGATTCTGTTTTTCATCTGTTTCTGCTTCACTGACTGCTACCCCGTCAAAGTTTAAATATGGGTGGGAGCCGGTACCTTACAAACAGCTTGACCCTGTACCCATCGTAATCCATCAGGCCCTGCACGTAACCCTGGTGAGAGCCCATCGGGCCCGGCCTGGCTGTTCATGCCAAGTGACCGCGTGCAGCTCCGGCGAAGCGGGAACATGTGCTGTGGGGGGACATCCTTCCCGATGGGGAAAGAGCCCGCGGCCTTCAGCAGGACCGCAGTCTGAGGAACGCTCGTCAGAGTCAGAAATCGCCTTTGGGAATGGTCCTTTGAGACACCGCTGAGCTCTTGAGGGAGGCCCTGACGTGCTAAAGTGCACTCTCTTCGAGCTGTGGACATGGAACAAAGCTACAAGAAGGAGCGCCCTTTGTTGTCTCGGCCCCCAGCAGAGAGGAAATAGAGGTGGGCCTTGGGAGGGCTCTCGCTCTTCTATTTCTGTAAACGTGCCGCAGCGTGACTTCCTACCCCGACTTCGTCAACCCTGGGCCAAGCCGCTGCCTCTCTACACGGAGCTGGATTCCTCCTTCCAGGAGAAAGTGTCTCCAGTGACAGTCCCCGACCCAGTCCTCATGCTGCTGGGGCTCGTGCTGCTGATGTGCGGTGAGTAGGATGTCCAGGCCGGATCTCCCGAGGTCTCCGCCTGCGCCCACGGAGGCCGAGAGCTCGGCCTCCACCCCGAGGCTCAGAGTCAGGCAGCAGGTGGTAAAGACTGGAAAGCCAGGTGTTTGAAGAAAGCTATCATTTCACCTTTTATCTCAGAGGAAGTGTTTGGTGTCTGTCCTTCCTTCCCATATGAATTCTGTCTCTGTTCTCACTGTTGTGGATAGCCACAGGGATGACTCACACAACGACATGGGCTCTTTGTTCCTTGTCCTCACCGTCAGCATGCTTTCCTTTGTCTTCTGTCCTTGGCCCCTCATCCCTACCATCAAACCCTAGCTATTTCAAAATCCCACATCTCTGGTGGCCCTGGCAGGGCCGGTGACTACACCTTCCTACTCGGTGCCTCACACTCGGACCACTATCTCCCGCCTTCTCTGTCTCCTCAAACTCCTCCTTCTTACTCTCAGTTTACAATCTTGCTGCGTGTCACTGAGGAAATGAAAGCCGTCAGAAGAGAATGTCCTCACCTTTTTGCAGCCATGTCTGTGAACCCACCCGCCCCCGCCGTGTGTTCTCGGTCAGGGCGACACCGTCCTTCCTCCCGTGCAGGACAGGACTCCCCCCGTGTGCACTGGCTTCCCCGATGCTCTCGCTTTCTCAGGACCTTCCCTGTGCCATCACCATGTTTCTTCATTCTGGGTTAGTCCTGTAAACATACAAACATGCCACCGTGTCCTTTTGCCTAAAGCGATGGAAATGTGCCTTGACAGTGTCCAGCTCCCTTTCACACAATTTCCAGGGAGCTGCTGGGCTTGCTTCATCTCCTCCCATCCTTCCTGTTTTAAACTCATTTTTAACTTACATCACAGTAACATTCGCTTTTGTGATACACCAGCTCTGATTTTCCAGAAGGATTCGTAATCATGTGAGCACCTTCAAGATGCAGAGCATTTCCATTTCCTCAAACACTCCCTCCTGGCCTCCATCCCTTTGGGTTCCTAAGCCCCAGAGACCACTGGCCGGTTCTCGGTGCTCACAGGTCCTCCTTACCCTCGGCCACGGCTGTCCACCTTCCGTCCCCACCACTGCTCCTGCTGGGACCACCAACCCCTTCCATGTCACCCCGGTCCAGGCTGTTTTCAGTTTCCTTTAACTCGGCCTCTCATGGGTGGTCCTTCGCTCCGTCTTCTGGAAGCACTTCTTCCCTCGGCTTCTGGAACACCACACGCTGCTGGTTTTCTAACTCAACACCTGTTGCTTCCTGACCGACTTTCCCAAGGCTGGTGCCCAGACCTCACGCTCCACCCGTGCTCACTTCCCAGCCCAGTTCAGACACTTCATGTGCCACTTTGACCTTAAACTCAAGCTTATTTTGCCAGCTCTGATTTGTCCTCTGAGCACCTTCCATGCCTTCAACAGCCACTCAGCTGTCCCGTAGACACCTTGCACTCCACACGGCCAAACACATGTCCTGATCTCCTGTGCGTTCCCCCAACTTAACCTGCTTTTCCAGGTGACCGCGCCATGCTCATGAATGTCACCTCCATTCTTCCAGTGACTGCGACCAAGAATCTAGGACTTACACTCATTCCTCTCTCTCCTCTACACTTGACCTCCAATCCATAAGGAACTCTTATTGATTCTACTTTCAAATTTATACCGGAATCTGGCCCTTCATGGGCAGCCCTGGCTAGCCCGAGCTGGTGTCCTCTGTCTTCCAGACTAAATTGCCACTAGTGTCCTCCCTGCTTCTCCTGCATGACGGTGGTCTGCCCCTCTCCCAGGATAAGAGTGATTTTACAGGGGCGCCTGGGTGGCTCAGTTGTTAAGCGTCTGCCTTCGGCTCAGGTCATGATTCCAGGGTCATGGGATCGAGCCCCGCATCAGGCTCCCTACTCAGCGGGAAGCCTGCTTCTCCCTCTCCCACTCCCCTGCTTGTGTTTCCTCTCTCGCTGTCTCTCTATCTGTCAGATAA